CAGGGAGAGGCAATGGTGTCACAGCAGCTCGGCACATTGATCAAGTCTTGAGTACCGTTGCCCGTTGCTGGAGCCTGTATATGAGCCTTACGTGGACTTGAAATGCATTGAAATGACGGGTGGTTTGTCCAGCTTGCAATCGTCCAAGGGCTTGGTGTTGCTGATTTCTTGTCAATCTTGGCATGTGGTAGCAATTCAAAAACGAATGAATGTTATCCGATCTGGATGGATTTTTATAGGGCAAGAAATGGGGGAACGCAGGAGCATTTCATTTTGCACGGACCACACTTGCATCGGGTTACCATGGCCGTTGTCGTGATGCGTTAAGGCGATCGGTTTTATCATCTGCTTTTGGTTTTTTATTATCAAATTTCATTTTTCCGGGCAAGGTAATGTTAAATTTTAGAAACTTTTACAAAAAGTACCCAGATATTTAAAGGACAACTTTTCATGCAATGTTACTTGGGGTGACGTTTCTTTTGCGGTTCAGTATAGATGCAAACTAATATTTCCCGTATTCTGGTTTCATATGATATTAGTAGGTGTCTAATCTGACAATCTATCCTCCATCCAACAATATAATTTTTGGTTTGGTTTGTTGTTTTACGCCGCACTCAGCAATATTCCAACTATATAACGGTGGTCTGTAGATAATCGAGTCTGGATCAGACAATCCAGTGATTGATATCATGAGCATCGATCCACGCAATTGGCATCAATGACATGCTTCAACCAAGTCAACGAGCCCGACCACCTGATCCCGTTAGTCGCCTTTAACGGCAAGCATAGTCGCCTTTTATGGCAAGCATGGGTTGCTGAAGACCTATTCTACCCCGGTATCTTCACCGGTCCCAATTAGGGGAATCAAATGCAGATAGCAATGTATTATTAACTTGATTCACATTTCACTGCAATGTAATATGTCGATGTCTTGATCCCCTTCACACTTTCAATACAGAAACACCGAAAAGGTCTAACTGATGAAATCAGTTACACATTTCAATGTTCAAATGTACTGAACTGTAGCCTGCTTTGCTTACATTATCTTGGAAAGAGACATTCACACATACGAAACCACACTTCTAGACACTAAACAACTTACTATACCAACTTAGACTTTTAAATACAATCTGCACTGTTTTTTAACATGCCAATGTACCGTGTATTTTGTGGAGAAAATACTGAAAAATGTTTGCCTCAGGTTTAAGAAAATGATTGTCCATTTGATGTAGTGTAGGACCCAATAACTTGTTTTTCTCCTTGTTTCAGAAATATTTTTCTCCTACAGATAACGTCATTTGAATCAATATATCAAAATGCTTTTCAAGGAGGGTGAGGGGCGGTCGGGTAGCCTAGTGGTTAAAGCGTTCTCACGTCATGCCGAAGACCCGGGTTCGATTCCCGACATGGGTACAATGTGTAAAGCCCATTTCTGGTGTCCCCCGCCATGATATCGCTGGAATATTGCTAAAAGCGGCGTAAAACCATACTCACTCACCCAGGGAGGGTGACTGCATTGCTAATCACATTAAAATATCCAACCTTACGATGAAAAAGAGGTAAGGTGAAATGAGGTGAGACCTGACTAATGCCGGTTTTATGGTGCGCAAAACCATACTCACTCAGGTATGGCATGGATTATATTTCATTTTCAAAATACCTTTTTAATTCTTCGTGATATTGCCGGTATATTGATACAAGCGACTCAAGGTGTTTAGGTGGCCAAGTGGTTAAAAGCGTTTGCACGTCATGCAGAAGGGCTTGGTTCGATTCCAAACATGTGTACATTTTATGAAGCCCATTTCTGGCGTCCCCCGCCGTGATATTGCTGGAATATTCTAAAGGCGGCGTAAAACCATACTCACTCACTACAAGCGACTCACTCCTTACTACGGAACTTTGTGAACCTTCCCGTGGGCGGTGCTTCACATACTGAGGTTAGTTCTAATCTTGTAGTTGTAATCTAGAGTGACAGTCTTGTAGTCCAGTCCGAGTCCTCGCCGTCACTCAAGTCCAGCATGCACTATAATGGCGCCCTTGGAAACCAGCGTTTGGAAAGTACAAGGAGGTGAAGAGCTTACATCCCACCTATGACCACACCAGGCAGGTGGCTCATCGTAGCGCTCTTGTCTGTCTTGTAAACAAAGCAAAAACATTGGATATATCTGGATATGACAGACCCAAAGATTCAGCGCCGCAAACAGGGCCATCCTCTTCATCTGACCATCTGCCTTTGGTAATGTGTCAAAATGTGACCAGGGATGTTTCTGGTGTAGACATCAATTGGCCCTACAAGATAGAAAGGAAACCCAATTTTACGGAAGCCAGTTCATGCCACATTCTAAAAATAATATTATATATGTAGATGATATTTATATCTACGTAGACCATACTTTCATCTACTTAGACCAAACTTAAATCTACGTAGACCATACTTTCATCTATGTAGACCATACTTTCATCTACGTAGACCATACTTTCATTCATCTACGTAGACCATACTTCCATCTATGTAGACCATACTTTCACCTATGTAGACCATACTTTCATCTACGTAGACCATACTTTTATTCATCTACTTAGACCATACTTACATTCACGAAGACCATACTTTCAACTACGTAGACCATACTTTCATCTACGTAGACCATACTTTCATCTACGTAGACCATACTTTCATCTACGTAGACCATACTTTCATTCACGAAGACCATACTTTCATCTACGTAGACCATACTTTCATTTATCTACGAAGACCATACTTTCATCTATGTAGACCTTACTTTCATCTACGTTGACCATACTTTCATCTATGTAGACCATACTTTCATCTACATAGACCATACTTTCATCTATGTTGACCATAATTTCATCTATGTAGACCATACTCTCATCTACGTAGACCATACTTTCATCTACGTAGACCATACTTTCATCTACGTAGACCATACTTTTATCTACATAGACCATACTTTCATCTACGTAGACCATACTTTCATCTACATAGACCATACTTTTATCTACATAGACCACACTTACATCTATGTAGATGATACTTTTATCTATGTAGATGATACTCCCGGGACAGACTTAAGGAAATATTTCATTCCTTGATCCATGGGTTATTTGTCACTTAACATGGTGACCATAGATATAGTTACTTTCATCTACGTAGACCATACTTTTATTCATCTACTTAGACCATACTTACATTCACGAAGACCATACTTTCAACTACGTAGACCATACTTTCATCTACGTAGACCATACTTTCATCTACGTAGACCATACTTTCATCTACGTAGACCATACTTTCATCTATGTAGACCATACTTTCATCTACGTAGACCATACTATCATTCACGAAGACCATACGTTCATCTACGTAGACCATACTTTCATCTACGTAGACCATACGTTCATCTATGTAGATGATACTCCCGGGACAGACTTAAGGAAATATTTCATTCCTTGATCCATGGGTTATTTGTCACTTAACATGGTGACCATAGATATAGTTACTTTCATCTACGTAGACCATACTTTTATTCATCTACTTAGACCATACTTACATTCACGAAGACCATACTTTCAACTACGTAGACCATACTTTCATCTACGTAGACCATACTTTCATCTACGTAGACCATACTTTCATCTACATAGACCATACTTTCATCTATGTAGACCATACTTTCATCTACGTAGACCATACTATCATTCACGAAGACCATACGTTCATCTACGTAGACCATACTTTCATCTACGTAGACCATACGTTCATCTACGTAGACCATACTTTCATCTACATAGACCCTACTTTCATCTTATTAGACCATACTTACATTCACGAAGACCCTACTTTCATCTACATGGACCATACTTTCATCTACCTAGAAGATTCATTTGCGTAAAGCATACTTTCATCTACGAAGATTATACTTACATCTACGCATATGATACATCTAAACTATACTTTCATCTAAGTAGGTGATACTTAAATCTATGTAGATGATACTAATATCTACATAAATGATACTTTCATCTATGTAGACCATACTTTCATCTACGTAGACCATACTTTCATCTACATAGACCATACTTACATTCACAAAAACCATACTTTCATCTACATAGACCACACTTACATCTATGTAGATGATACTTTTATCTATGTAGATGATACTCCCGGGACAGACTTAAGGAAATATTTCATTCCTTGATCCATGGGTTATTTGTCACTTAACATGGTGACCATAGATATAGTTACAAAACTACGTTCAAAGGTTCAGGACAATTTGTCAAAAATGAAAGCAATGTCATCTGAAGTCTTCGAGTAGGACATGTGTGAGAAATTTGGGTTGGGACCTTTAGGCGAGAAGTACCCAGTCCCATGGACACCAATTGTGCTTACCCAAAATTTGATGCCTCAGTGACAAAAATGATGCCCAGATGCATACCCTATTTTGACTTCTACCATATGTTCCTGTGTTTTTTCAGAACATTTGCCTTGCCTTTGCATGTGTTTGTGATGGATGACACTGGTGGGACATGATACGCTCACCTTTTATGAACACCGTGTATCATCACCAGTTGACAGGGTTAAATAAACACATCCTAAGAATAGACTTTTCTAGAGATTTCTGATTATGGAAATGTTTTTTGTTGCCATTATTTTTAACATTCACATAATGCAACGTTGGTAATGTAAGCAGGGATTGTCAATCACTAATTGCCATACAGTAAACCAAGTTGAAAACGCTTATAACGAACAGACCGATACAAAGAACTTATTTTTTTGTCCATTTGCTGTATAGATGCTTATGAACTACAGTTATTACGAAAGTAGATTAGCGGTCGCTGTGAGTTTGTTACAACCGTAGTGTACTGTATATCTTCCTAGGTACCTCACATTGGGGTCTTTTGAGGATACTCTTCTAGATATGTCAATTAGCGAGAAATAATCTCTCTAAAGAAAATTACATCAACAAACACTGGAATCATGAACAAAATGTTTATTAAACACAGCATGAGGCTTCATGAACATGGCTGAATCTATGTGCCGAACCAGAACAGTTATTTGAGATATCTACACTATCTACAACTAAAACAAGCGAATTGACAATCATGAGATTCTTAACTCGTGCCCAAAGTAGGTACCCCGACAACCCTATTTCCTGACACACATGAGACACTGTAACATTAGAGAGCAATGTATTGCACTATTATCATTTTTAATAAGTCTTAGAAGAACAGGTTATCATGGACTACACACTTGTTTGTTTAAACTGAACATCAGGTCAACTTTATAAAAACTAAAAACATACTTGTCTTTATTAAAAAATGTGTTTCAGCAGTTAGAAGTTGGACAAATCTTGTAAAGATGAAACATGAAATTCTAAAGGAAGTAAATATATTTTTAAAATCCACAAGATGTATGTCTCAAAATCAATAAATATGATATACACAACGTTTCCTGAAATCAACATGAAGGCTTTCTAAGTCAGTTTGTAGTTTCTATATTGATAAATGAAACCTCACATGGGACAGATAAACATTGAATTTGTACTGTCATATAAATTGTGAAAATATTCTAAGTTACAGAGAAGCATAGCATCTAAAGTCGATGCACACATGCACAAAAGTATACATGTCAAAACACAAAGTGAAACAGTGACATATATTTGTAAAATAAAATATACAAAAATGTTTATTAACATATGAAAATGGCAACAAAAGTAATAAAATAGAAAAGATACAGAATATACAACCTTCCCAGTGCAAGATAAAGAAGACATCGTAAAAAAGGCATCTAATTAGGGATGAGGCATACATGAAGCCTTTAACATCCACATAGAGTGATTCTACTTGTTAGCACACATGATCAATGGTAGAAAAATACACATTCTCCACACCCTCTGCACCGTCGCTGCCTATATAGGGTTAATATGTTGTGTCAAACTCAACAGGCAACAGGACACACTTTGTTCACTCAAACTGATGAGACATTAAGTTGACTAAATAGTGACCTATTTTCCTCCACCAAATGGATAGGTTTATAAACTTGTGATGAATTGTGCAAAAATTATTGATTTCAACATATTGGAACTAAACTACAGCAAAGTTAGGGTTCTCAGTTCGGTAAGGGTTGACTTGAATTCTAAAACGCCTGGTTAGCCTTTTGCTGACTATCAGGTCCGACAGTCATCCTTGTTACTGATGTTGATGATGTTCCTGTTGCCCGTCTGGTCGCAATATACAATAATATCTAGGTAGGTATTACAGTCATATATTCCTGGTAGCCATTACAGTTGTATATATCCTGGTAGCTGTCATACCATATATATCCTTGTAGCTAATATGGCATATATATCCTTGCAGCTGTTACAGTGATGGCAAGACAAGAAGCAAGGACTAGCAGTCAAGCAGCACTATCACAGCAATACAATACCATCACAAATTCCTATATGTATATACCATGAACGTAGCACACATCCCTCCCTGTAGTAAGGCCCTTATATACCTCCAGACATGGAAACTATGAATGTTTTCACAAGTTCAACACAATACTGGCCATTGGTTAATCAAAGTGAGCAACAGGTTCTACACAATGACCCTGATTGGACAACTCAGAACATGACTACCTACCACCTTCTAAAGGGTCTTGTTTTAATCAATGGATTAATCGTATAATCTTTGGTTCAGTGCCAAAGCTGTAAAATAAAGTGACTGAAGGTAAAAAAGAAATTATTTTATTTTATTTTTAATTTGTAACCTTGAAAAAATTATTTAACAATATTTAATCTAAATGAGTTAGTATCGGGGATATTCAATTACCGGGTACTCAAATGCATTCATCATCTGGACGGTAATTAAAGAATTAAAACTCTATCATAAAATGGTGTTTGGAAAATTAACAATTAACATGAATCCATGCAATAAGACACGGTTAATTTTATTAGGATATCATGCTGGTTGTTTTTTTAAATACCTACATAGTGTATGGAAATATATCCGAGTTTTTACTATTACAACATCACTATTTCACATTACAAGATACAGGGTGCAGAGTGGCTACATTATGTACACTACCTAGGACAACACTACCATATAGATGTAGAGAGGCAAGAAACCATTTGTTCAAATTGAAAAGTACTCTCATGTTTTCATGTATCGTATCCAACACAAACAGTGTGACGAAGCACACACTGATGATTCAAAAAGTTTAAAAGTTAATAAGAATGAGTAACTATTCACATGATGAGACTAACAAGAGAATAAGTTCACATGGAAAGACAGTGGTTTTGTAAAGGTTCACAGGTCCTCAAATCAGCACATAACAACCTGCTCCTTATAAAATTACAAGTTCATGATCCGTTATGAAAACAACCCTTCTGCAGATGACATTGTGGCTAACATATCCAAGCGAGACATAAACTAAAGGTCTCTACTGACAATTTTGGTACCTTCCCTGCAGTAGCTCATTTATAGAAAGTCTAAAAATGGTCATACCCAGCGACAGCTGACCTAAATACCAATCCCACTTCCAGGACCACATCAGGAGTCCATCTTCAGTTTCTTATCACTTGACAAATGTCAAAAGCATTGCTCTGTAAATTATTCCAGAAGACACAAGTAACTGTATTCTCATTCTTTTAAAAGCAGGTACCAGAATAGCCCTAAACTGTTATACTCATCCTTGCCATAGCAGTGGGCCATGTTTATGAAAACGCAAAAGCTTCAAATTTATTACAGTATTTCCTCAATTAAAATTCCAGGCCTCAAATAAACGCCAGGGTCTCCAATAAATGCCAGGGTGTCCTGTAAATGCCAGGCCTCGATTAAATTCCAGTAGTTTATATGCAAAGGATTCTCCCCATCATTATCTTTGCTATTAAATGCTGCCAGGAGCAAGAAAGAAATATATGCCCTGATGTTTAATTGAGGAAATACGGTACAAGTAAACTGCCTATCAGTAACACTGTGAAACAAGTGTTCCACAGTGTGGTGAGTGTAACCACAAGTCTAACAATGTAACAATATTGTGAGCACCAGGAGTGTGATATCAGCAGATAATGTTTAGATTGAGGTGAGAGTCTTGCTCTGCGTGATCTCCACACGGACTTTGCCAGGTCTGGCGGCTCCCTGCTCCTTCTTGCGTCCGACGAGGCCTACTTCTTGTGCTGCATGGGAGCATTCATCAGCGCTCATAAACACATGCTTGCCCATGTACTCGTCCCTTAAGAGATTGTTGTTCCAAATCTACAAATACAATAAATATTTTTTGTTTTATTAATTATCGTTCATTTAACCATGTGTATAATATGCAGTAACATTGTCACATGGTTGCAAATACTGTCTCTATTTTGTTCAAGCCTTTCCAGGAAATATTATTTCTTATACATCTTACAAAGAATATATATGGTCTTGATGTCTTATGCCACTTTCAGCAATATTCCCGCTATATCAATGTGGTATATCAATGCCGGTGTACAGGGGCCGGTGAACAGGGGCAGTGAAGAGGGGACAGGGTACAGGGGCAGTGAAGAGGGGACGGGGTACAGGGGCCGGGGTACAGGGCCCTGGTGTGCAGGGGCCGGGGTACAGGGGCAGGGGTGCAGGGCCCTGGTGTGCAGGGGCCGGGGTACAGGGCCCTAGTGTGTAGGGGCCGGGGTACAGGGGCCGGGGTACAGGGCCCTGGTGTGCAGGGGCCGGGGTACAGGGGCCCGGTGTGCAGAGGACGGGGTACAGGGGCTGGGGTACAGGGGCTGGGGTACAGGGCCCTGGTGTGCAGGGGCCGGGGTACAGGGACCCGGTGTACAGGGGCCGGGGTACAGGGGCCCGGTGTGCAGGGGCCGGGGTACAGGGGCCGGGGTACATGGCCCTGGTGTGCAGGGGCCCGGTGTGCAGGGGCCGGGGTACAGGGGCCGGGGTACAGGGGCCGGGGTACATGGCCCTGGTGTGCAGGGGCCGGGTACAGGGGCCCGGTGTGCAGAGGACGGGGTACATGGGCTGGGGTACAGGGCCCTGGTGTGCAGGGGACTGGGTACAGGGGACTGGGTACAGGGGCCGGGGTACAGGGTCCCGGTGAGCAGGGGACAAGGTACAGGGGCCGGGGTACAGGGTCCCGGTGAGCAGGGGACAAGGTACAGGGGCCGGGGTGCAGGGGCCGGGGTACAGGGGACGGTTTACAGAGGCCGGGGTACAGGAACACTGACCTGGATCTTGATGGGAGCGCCCAGCGGCTTCTTCCTGTAGAAGACAGCACTCTGGTTCCAGTTGGGGTCTGTGGTGTTCTTGCAGCTGGTGGTCCGCACTGTCTCCCCCTCACACTTGATGATAACGTAGGGGTCAGCACCACCTGGAGGCAGAATCAGTTAACTGGAACATTTGCTATTAATTTGTGTTTGTTGTGTTTTACCTGATTACAAGCTTGATACAACAGGGTTTAAGATTTTTTGTTTCAAAGGACGATGATTGTCATTCAAAATGTCCTGAAGATATTTTTTCAAATTTGGTAATGACATAGAAAAATGTCCTGACACACACTGATACACTTACATAAATGTCCCAATGACCGAGATTTTACCAGAAATTTATAAACGAGAGGGAGGTCTAGTAAGCGGGAATTTCCATTCAACCAGTGGGGGAGCGTATGAAAGAGCATAGGTGTGTTTTTTCACATACAAATGGTCTGCATGAAATCTCAAACCGAAAGATACCGATTCCGGTCAAGCTGCCATCAATGTTTCTAAATACATTTCCTGGAATTCTTTCACCTTCAATTTCGTAATAAACAGTTGTGAGGATGACAGACTTTACTTACAACAAGCTAGACTTTGCAATTTCACAACTAATGACAGGCTTCTTTGTGATTTATTTACAAGTTATTACAGTACAAATAAATATAAATATCGCACACTGTGAAATTTCAAATGCAGGTTTGGTTATTTTTCCGCACAAACTTTCACACACAACAAATGTGGGATTATGAATAAATTAGCATGAATCCCGCAGTTGCATGCCCAGGTAAAACCCCTCCCATTCATCTCTCGCAAAATCACAACATGTTGCGATAACTAGTAAAAAAACACTGTCAATACTTGAATCATTTCACATAGACCATTTGAAACAAAATATGTAACAAACTGCTGCTTTCATTACAATGGGCGAAAGCTGATGGGGGAGCGCGAAAAATATCGTTCATTCTCAGAAAAAGACAGGGGAGGATAATTAAGTTGTGTACTCATAAATCCAAACAGAAAGGTCCACTACCCCCCTCCTTGTCACTGAGACAGTTACTTATCAGCAGCCTGAGACATTCTGCCCTACTTACCAGCTGCGTCCTGCTTCTCCAGACCATGGGCTCCGATGACCTTGATGTGTGTGACCATAACTGGCTCACTGCTCAAGCAGTTCCACCAGCTCTTCTGTGGCTGATCTTGATCCAGGTGCCTGTGGGAGAAACACAAATGCCATCAGGTCTGGTACAATCAGGACTAAGGCTAAACTATTGACTGATCCAGGTGTTTGTGGGAGAAACACGAACACCATCAGGTCTGGTGCAATCAGGACTAAGGCTAAACTATTGACTGATCCAGGTGTTGTGGGGAAACACGAACACTATAGGGTCTGGTACAATTAGGACTAAGGCTAAACTATTCATTTATGCAGATCCTAGTATCTGTGGGGGAAACATGAAAATAAATACAGGCTAAAGCTACTGGAAAAAGTTCATCCAGTCTGCATTTATTTTGGAATTGGAGTCATGAAACATAGTGAGTGAGTGAGTGAGTTTGGTTTTACGCCGCTTTTAGCAATATTCAAGCAATATCACGGCGGGGGACACCAGAAATGGGCTTCACACATTGTACCCATGTCGGGATTCGAACTCGGATCTTCGGCGTGATGAGCGAACGCTTTAACCACTAGGCTACCCGACCGCCCCTCATCATCAAACATAGCCAATCATGTATGTTGACTGTGATTGCAGAGACACTGACATGCTAAAGCTAATTGAAAAACTGATCAACTGCACTTAACAGAATTGATTGATATTAGTAATACATTATTGAACAAGAGCCATTAGATCTAAACCAAATTCTTAGAGTAAATTGGTATTGTTAAATAGGACATATATTATTGAACCGTTTCTAAGTTGTAAACTCACTTGAAGTTGTTGACACTGTCTGTGTAGATTCTGATGAGGAAGTTTGACTCGACATCCTTCTCGAAGGTAGTGGGGACGATGACATATCGGCCCTTCGTGGCAGTCGGCCTCATAAAGATTGAGCGGCTGTTCCTGAAGACGGAGGACACCAGCTTCTCATGGTGACTCAAGTCATGCATTCGGTACCGTCGGTTAATCTCAACCTGTAACAGTAACAAAAATAATAATATGCATATTTATAATGTGGCAAATTCACACCATAAAGCATGTGTTATTATCCCGGTCAATCGATCGCTCAATTTTCATTCTCATTGCCATCTCATCCTACCGGGTACCCATTCACTACTGGGTGATTTCATATTTTGGCATATTTCGAACAAAGTCTCTTGCCAATGGAGATACCACATGTGCTTCAGCAGGACAGAAGTCCTAGAAGTCCTAGAAACTCTCCGGAGTCAAGCTGCCGAACACACCCATCCACCTACTCTCTGTGACCACCAGTGCTGAACTACACTTGATTTGTAACCTGCGTGTTGTACACAGGACACAAGTGGCACCACAAGTGATGCTATGGTAAGTAAGCTTTACACCTATTATAGTAGAGGTTCATAGTGAGTGAGTGAGTTGGGTTTAACGCCACTTTTAACAGTATTCCAGTTATATTGCGGGGTGTGGGAGGAAAGCCCAAGTGATGCAGGTCTCAGACATTTACCACTTCGATGAAACCCACGAGCACGGGTATGGTGCTGACAAACCTAGAAACATTATCGGGGCAAACTGGAATTCAAACCCACAATCATAGGTTTCCGGTGTGCCCAAGGGAGGCAACTCTGCACAGCGGATTGCGGCGCCTTAAACGACTAGGCCACCCGTGCACCCGGGAAATCGCATGTGATCTTCAGTGTGACTAGCATATGCTTTAACACAAGACCCCATCACTCCAGTATTAGAGGAACTAAATAATATTAGGTACTGAACCAAAGGCTTAAAGGCAGGAACATTATTGTGCTTTTTAATCAATACACATGCTCTACTGAAAGGTAAATTGAAATGAACCAAAGGTTGATATCATGAGCATCAATCCATCATGGAAGGGTTCAAACTCACACTACGTTATATCAGATAACAGCTGAGAACCACACTACCAGCAGATATGTATCCTAGGCAGCGTTGACTTACTTTGAATATGGTGAAGCCCATAGTTTCGTTTGTGGAGCCTTCCTTGGTCCGAGTGCTCTTCTGACTCAAGTGGACCATAAACTCCTCTTCTTCCCCGTAGATGTCGAACACATACTGCAAACAGATGTCAAACATGTACCACGGTTCACAGTTTCACTATATATGGCATTAAATATGGGAGTGACAAACAAACGCTTATCAACCAGACCAAACAAAAAACAGGCCTGTACACTGTACTTTACACATAGATATCACATAGATATCTCTACCACGTTCCTGACATAGCACATTGTAAATGTAAAACTGTTTGGCCATTGTGATCCCAGATATCCTCAAATACTAATGCAACAAGCAAACACAGCAATATCGAACCATCTCATCCATGACAGTTGTCACACTAGTAGGTGAGGTGAAATTTGGTTTAACGTCGCGTCCAAGATTATTGCACTTATATAGCGACGTGCATGCACATGTATGTGTGTGTGTAGCTGCGTGTACTAGTCCGGACTGATGTCGATTTATAGTGCTAGCTCACTGAGATACCATGCCGCAGTATAACATGAATGCCCCACTCAGACACAGTATACTGACTCCGAGCCGACCAGTCCTTGTTTTAGCTCCTTAATGCCGAGCGCCAGACAAGGTAACAACAAGTACAATCTTTTAACGTCTTTTTGTATGACGCGGCCGGGAATCGAACCCCGAACCTTCCGCTCTCAGGGCAGACGCTCTACCACCAGACCACGGAGGCGGTCTGTCACACTAGTAGTGGGATCACCCTCTAAATTAACCAAAGATCATTTTCGGTATGTGGCCCTGAGGCCAGGGATCGAACCAACTTTCTGTTCTCCGGGGAGACACGCTATGATGAGTGTTACTCGACATGGTCCGGGTATGACATTAGTGAGTATGGTTTTACGCCACTTTTAGAAATATTCCAGCAATATCATGGCAGGGAACACCAGAACAACCGCCAAACAAGATGGAGTAGAAATATGGAGAAACAACTGTTTCTGTTTTCTTTTAACATCAGTTGTCGTCCATACTGCCACTGTTCCCTACCTGTGGGTTGTTGAGGAAGGTGTCCCTGTTGTTGAGGCAGCCCCCGGCCCTGTTTGGCTTCTTCCAGGCCCCGTGATGCAGACCCTCGTTCCAGGTCTTGGTCAGGGTAAACATGGATGTGTTCACGTTACGGCAGATGCCGACTTGCTTGAAGTGCTTGCAGAAGTCCTCGAATGTCATCCTACAGTGTCAGGTAGAGAGAATGTGTGTGAATAGGGTTGCAGTCCTTGTCAAATCCATTCTTGGTTACAAGTTTCGGGAAAATATGCTATTAGGTAGATAGTGCAATAAAACATCAATACACAATATTTACAATTTCAATTGTAGTCATTTTATGCTAGCCATTGTTTTATACTAAGAGATTAAGATTCCCATGTGTAATTGTCTCGTAAGATAAGCTGAAAATAGCTATTGCAATCATATATTTTCTTGCCAAAACTACCACTGATTCTGTTGAAAACATACCCAATATCATAACTGAAAATAAGTTTAATGCAGAAGAAAGAAAGTAATATTTTATCTGGAATAATGTAATCGAATATCTTCTTTTAGTTGCAACTTTTACTAAATAAACCGTAAGACGTAACAAGCGCCTACGGTGATATTGGCTAACATATTGGCTAGTGAACAATCCCAATTAGAACCCATTCCGATTGATCAATGTACACAAGACCTAATATTCTATTAAGAGTCCCCTATTTCTACTTTTGAGAGCGCCCTGGGCGCTTATTATGTTGAATACGGTATTGCAAATAAAATAACTATAAGCAAAGAACCTCGGTCGATTGCTGGATATTTCTTACGAGTCAACATTTCAAGCTTCCCAGGGTTCTATTTCAATTGTAAAAACAGTATGTTGACAAAAATACATTTGTCCAAATAACAATACTTCAGCTATATGACTGCCAGTTAAAAGAAAGTTTGAAAGATATTCTCACCAGAATTCACCGTCATCATCAACTGTCAAGCCGATCTTCTTCTGATCATTCTTGTCAATTTTCTCCCACTCAGGGGATCTGAAAAATAAACATTCAAATGTGAAATATCACAAAATGAATAAAAAAAATTACCCATTGGGATCACTTACATTAGAACTGAGGCAATCTAGATTGGCCAAATCATTCTGAACTTGGGACAACTTTTTTATATCCTCTAGGTCTGGGCTGAGTCCAAATTTACTACCTGGTCACCCAAACCCTATTACCCGACCCTACGCGGGTACTCAACCCCTATTACCCGACCCTACCCTGGTACTCAACCCCTATTACCCGACCCTACGCGGGTACTCAACCCCTATTACCCGACCCTACGTGGGTACTCAACCCCTATTACCCGACCCTACGCGGGTACTCAACCCCTATTACCTGACCCTACGCGGGTACTCAACCCCTATTACCCGACCCTACGCGGGTACTCAACCCCTATTACTCGACCCTACGCGGGTACTCAACCCCTATTACCCGACCCTACGCGGGTACTCAACCCCTATTACCCGACCCTACGCGGGTACTCAACCCCTATTACCCGACCCTACGCGGGTACTCAACCCCTATTACCCGACCCTACGCGGGTACTCAACCCCTATTACCCGACCCTACGAGGGTACTCAACCCCTATTACCCGACCCTACGCTGGTACTCAACCCCTATTACCCGACCCTACGCTGGTACTCAACCCCTATTACCCGACCCTACGTGGGTACTCAACCCCTATTACCTGACCCTACGCTGGTACTCAACCCCTATTACCCGACCCTACGCGGGTACTCAACCCCTATTACCCGACCCTACGCGGGTACTCAAACCCTATTACCCGACCCTACGCGGGTACTCAACCCCTATTACCCGACCCTACGCGGGTACTCAACCCCTATTACCCGACCCTACGCAGGTACTCAACCCCTATTACCCGACCCTACGCGGGTACTCAACCCCTATTACCCGACCCTACGCGGGTACTCAACCCCTATTACCCGACCCTACGCGGGTACTCAACCCCTATTACCCGACCCTACGCGGGTACTCAACCCCTATTACCCGACCCTACGCGGGTACTCAACCCCTATTACCCGACCCTACGCGGGTACTCAACCCCTATTACCCGACCCTACGCGGGTACTCAACCCCTATTACCCGACCCTACGCGGGTACTCAACCCCTATTACCCGACCCTACATGGGTACTCAACCCCTATTACCCCACCCTACGCGGGTACTCAACCCCTATTACCCGACCCTACGCGGGTACTCAACCCCTATTACCCGACCCTACGTGGGTACTCAAACCCTATTACCCGACCCTACGTGGGTACTCAACCCCTATTACCCGACCCTACGTGGGTACTCAACCCCTATTACCCGACCCTACGCGGGTACTCAACCCCTATTACCCGACCCTACGCGGGTACTCAAACCCTATTACCCGACCCTACGCGGGTACTCAACCCCTATTACCCGACCCTACGCGGGTACTCAAACCCTATTACCCGACCCTACGCGGGTACTCAACCCCTATTACCCGACCCTACGGGGGTACTCAACCCCTATTACCCAACCCTACGCGGGTACCCGTTGTAGGCATCAAGAGATGGGTACAAAATGTCTGATTTGGAATTGCTTGACTGTAGCCCTGGCACAATGTACTTAGATACACGTATAAAATGATCTGGTCATGCATACACTGAAGTTGACTGAAGTTTTGTCTTTATTCAAACAAATAGAAGTCAGAAAGAGAGCGTTCATGGTCAGAAAGAAATGCAAACATTAGTGAAATGTAGTGTAACGATGGAGTTCTAGATAATTCTTGTCATTAAACAATATATCACGTGACTAACCACGGGTCTTGGTAGTCCTGTGGGTACCCGGGTCCCACTCAAGACCCACCAGGCCCGAATGTCTAAGTTTCCCGTCACAGCCCTAATTTACATGTTTTTAGTTGGCTCTTGCTACAAGCCCGGGGGTGTTTAATGGGGGAGGAACCTGTCTGGGGTGAACTCAAATAAGGAAAGAGTTTAAGGTTTAAGCACATGAATAATAGCATTGGATTCAAAAGCACTATCGCCATAAACAACACAGGAAACAATACATTATGATAGTTCTACCCTAGATGAAAGACTTGTTTCCACCAGCGAAGTAATGTTGGCATCCAGGGTCAGCATATTCTGGCAGCTGAGAGATGCAAAGCGGTGAGTGGGAGGCCCTAGACCACTCATCGCTGACCCACAAGTTCAGTAATTCTTCAGTACTATCTCCTCCAGGTCTATGAGTAAGTGAGTGAGTATTGTTTTACGCCGCTTTCAGCAATATTCCAGCAATATCACCGCATGGGGCACCAGAAATGGGCTTCAGACTTTGTTCCTGGGTAGGGAATTGAACCCGGGCCTAAGGCGTGACAAAAAACACTTTAACCACTAGGCTATCCCACCACCCCTCATGGTCCATGAAGAGGTTGTTACTTGTCAGTCGTGTCAGAAATTCCATCTCGGTTATTCTTAAACAACTCAACTGAGAGCTCCAGTTCATAAGTCATCGTTAAGTTCCGACGTACCCATCACTGAATGCTCCCTTCCATTCACACTGTCCCCAGGGGTTACGAAGTCGAACCATCGGCAGTTTGGGACGATTGAACATGCTGAACAGCCCGGACGATCCCTCCAGGTGAACGTTCTTCACGCAGGTCACGCCATACGCATGACCTTTGACCAGACCCATGTCTGTGCTGGCTTCCATCTCTTGTGCCGATTCAGCCTGAAATGGGTCAATTCCATTACAGGTGTGTATAAATGTAAAGACATGCTACCAATTACCTCCCTTTGACTAGTTCACAATTTCCCTGTAGAGTTATCCCCCTTTATAGTGTTTGATTTCATTTATACTGAGAATATCACCTGAGTGTCTTTTGATCTCGTCAATAATAGGATCGAGGAAGAAGAGAGAGATGCATAGTGAGAGATAGGACAAGTTTACAAATTAAAAGTTCTAAACTTTTATCGACCAGTGTTGATGTATTTGACCTAAAGAGACACTTGGATGAGATTCTGTTTTTCATCATGGTTCTAACCTTTTCAGTTTGTTAACAGTAAACAGTGTAAACAGTATAGATAACCAGTAGCTTCAGTGGTAGAGAAATGAGTGATGTCATTGTGATGTCAAGGGAACAATGACATCACAATGGTCTGCAAAGCACTGTGATGCAATTTCATAGCACCCAAATCTCCTGTGGAAGATAATGAGTTTCCCTGCTTGACTGTTAACTTCCCTTGCTATCCATTACATGACAAGCAGTTGAAGTGAGTGAGTGAGTTGGGCTTAACGCCCCTTTGAACAGTATTCCAGTTATATCACAGCATGTCAGCTTGATGTTGCAGGAACCCAACTCACTCACCCACTTACGAATGTCGTAGCACATTGAACACTTTGTGGATCAGGATCCAGGGTCTTAACCATGTATGACAGAATTCACTCACTGGAATTGATGCTGCCATCAGAGACTTCCTGTCCATTTCCTTCTGCATCCGGGCAAAGAACTCTGCCCTCTTCTCTGGCTCAGTAGCAACACCCATCTTCTCCATCTCATACGTGTCGGACACACCACCGGTGAAATCCTCCAGAGCCTCGTTCAAGTCCCCACCATCGAGAGACTCATAGCAGCCGAAGAACCTGAGGACAAGGCGAGCATTAAAGTTTGTTATACAGAATATTTTCTTCTGTTTCACTGCCTTAAGATATAAAATGTATTCTAATTTAAATGAGGTTCCTAACAATTTTCTATGGACTCTGCAACTCATTTGTTTTCAAGACATCTGGTGAACAATTTGTTGCTTGGTTGGTTTGTTGTTTAATCCACACTCAGCAATATTCCAGCTATATGACGGCGGTGTGTAAATAATCAAGTCTGGACCAGACAATTCAGTGATTGATATCATGAACATTGATCCACACAATTGGGATCGATGACATGCATCAACCAAGTCAGCGAGCCTGACCACCCGATCCCATCAGTCGCCTCTTACGACAAGCATAGTCGCCTCTTACGACAAGCATAGTCACCTTTTACGGCAAGCATGGGTTGCTGAAGACTCATTCTACCCCGGATATCTTCACGGGTAGTACAGTTTGTAATAACCTGACCCCTCCTGGTGAATACCAACAGGTGCATCCCCAGTAGTTATCGTGGTACGTATTGTTACCTATGTATTGTGATATGTATCGTGACCTTCCTGTATCGTTTCACCTTACAAAATGGTGCACAAAAACCCTGTACTGGGAGAGAGTGGGATGTCAGACAAGGGCCCACTTGCACAAAGCGATCTCAGCAATACGACTATCGTAAACCCATGTCAAAGTATGGAAGTTACGATCATCTTAGCGCTAAGATCGTTTTGTGCACGGTGCCCTGGGCCTACAGCTTTAACCTTTAAGTAGCTGAGTGTAGGTCCTTTTCAGGCCCTAAATGTTCCAGGATAACATTTATTAGTAATACATAATAATCCAACATTGCAGCTAACAAGATCCACTCACTTGGCATACGCCTTCTCCAACAGAGCGCTCCAGAATTCGTTCTTGCTCTGTGAGTGGATAAAGACCAGTTCGCCATTGATCACGGGCAGATGGTCATCAATGACCACTTCGGTCCACTCCCCATAGCGCCAGAACATGAAGCGGAAGATTCCCTGGTAGTTGTCGGGCTTCTGATCATCCCACTCCTGCCCCGTGGCGTCAGGGATCACCTGCAGCAACAAGGGAAGGGGTGAATAGAGTGACAGCAATAGTGGTCAAGTAGTTCGGTGGGTCAGTGATTGACTTGTTGAATGAATATTGCGTAGATGGTGTATTGTTTCATGATAGACAGTAACATAAGTTCAGGCTCAGTATCATTTGTTTGTTTGTTTGTTGTTTAACGCCGCACTCAGACATATTCCAGCTATATGACGCGGTCTGTAAATAATCGAGTCTGGACCAGGCAATCCAGTAATTGTCATCATGAGTATCCATCTACGCAATTCGGATATGATTACATGCATCAAACAAGTCAGTGAGCCGGACCAGCCGATCCCGTTAGTCACCTTTTACGACAAGCATAGTAGCCTACATCAATGAATCATGACATGCCTAGGCCATGTAGGCAGGGTTGGTTGGTTGGTAGGTTTGTCGTTTAACGCCGCACTCAGCAATATTCCAGCTATATGACGCAGTCTGTAAATAATCGAGTCTGGACGAGACAATCCAGTGATTGATATCATGAGCATCGATCCACGCAATTGGGATACGATGACATGCATCAAACAAGTCAGTGAGCCGGACCAGCCGATCCCGTTAGTCACCTTTTACGACAAGCATAGTAGCCTACATCAATGAATCATGACATGCCTAGGCCATGTAGGCAGGGTTGGTTGGTTGGTAGGTTTGTCGTTTAACACCGCACTCAGCAATATTCCAGCTATATGACGCAGTCTGTAAATAATCGAGTCTGGACGAGACAATCCAGTTATTGATATCATGAGCATCGATCCACGCAATTGGGATACGATGACATGCATCAACCAAGTCAGCGAGCCTGACCTCGCGATCCCGTCAGTCGCCTTTTACGACAAGCATAGTCACCTTTAACGGCAAGCATGGGTTGCTGAAGACCTATTCTACCCCGGAATCTTCACGGGTCATGTAGGCAGGGACTAGACAATGCCATTGGTCAATATTCTCAGCAACCATTATGCAAACTCAGTGATACAAATCACAACTGCGATTTCGTCTTTCCTGTTACCCACAAACATCAACATACTAGCTATAAAAATTTATACCTTCAAAAGGAATACTAACATTCACATATATTGTAGTGGTGGGACAATGCATTGGTGGATTGCGATTTTGTACTTCTTGATACAAGTATCGATCACAGTCACACACTAAGTAAAAAATATCGATTCTGACCTTAAATGTTTGCTTTAATAACTGTTCCATTATAAACTCTTATGAGTAGTGCAAGTTAATAGTGAAAACATACATATTTTCATTTGTTGTGCCATACTTGACACTGCTAACTGTAAATCATCAGTGTGCCAGGTATTTGGCCATCCTCTCTATGAAACAGATGGCTTACGCACCACAGATAAAAGCACATGCAAGTATCATGATACATATCGGCTTGTGAGTAAGGTATCGTGATACGTATTGGATCGCACAGTTGGTGTATCGTCCCAGCCCTAATTTATTCCCGAGTCCATGCAGCCCTGGTACATACCTTGTTCCAGATTTCTGAATACTGGGCCAGACAGGAACTGGCTGCCACAAACCAGCAGTTGCCAAGGCGACCCTGGGACACATCGTTTGAGCTGGCACCCTCAACAAACAACTTTGGGTTGTCCACAATTTGCTGAAACAAAATGAATGAAAATAACAAATAGCATCAATATTGTTCTTAAAAATGGGCGTGTCTACATTATACCACATGTTCAATACGGGTTAGTGAGTGAGTGAGTGAGTGAGTTTGGTTTTACGCCGCTTTTAGCAATATTCCAGCAATATCACGGCGGGGGACACCATATAAATGGGCTTCACACATTGTACCCATGTCGGGATTCGAACCCAGGTCTTCGGCGTGACAAGCGAACGCTCTAACCACCAGGCTACCCGACCGCCCCAATACGGGTTAGAAACACAGCTATTCAAATAGTGCCTTCTGGTAACACTAGAGCTAGAGCTAGAGCTAGGTTCGAAGGTAGCATGTCAATCCGTAGTCACAGACTGTAAGCAGAGTCTCTATATATATTTGTCTGTTTGTTGTTTTGGTGCCACACTCAGCAATTTTCCTGCCATATGATAGTGGCCTGTAAAACATAGAGTCTGGACAGACAATCCAGTGGTTGACATCATGAGCATCAACCTATACAACTGGGACACAATGACATGCAATCTTACAATCTTAGATGTGCAAGTAAAAGATATAATAAAACCCTCAAATCGTCACATAAACGGTTCAAGTTGGTTGGTTGGTTTGTTGTTTAACTCCGCAATATTCCAGCTATATGACGGCGGTCTGTAAATAATCGAGTCTGGACAGACAATCCAGTGGTTGACATCATGAGCATCAACCTATACAACTGGGACACAATGACATGCATCAACCACTCTGACCAGCAATCCTGTGAGTCGCCTCTTCCGAGTTGCTGAAGACCGATTCTAACCCAGATCTTCCTGGGGTTACAAGCATGGTATGCTGAAGACCGATTCTAACCCAGATCTTCCTGGGGTTACAAGCATGGTATGCTGAAGATCACTTCTAATCCCGATCTTCCTGGGGTTACAAGAATGGGTTGCTGAATACCGGTTTTATCCTGGATCTTCATTGGGGTACAAGCAAGTGTTGCTGAAGACCTGTTCTAACCCAGATCTATCTGGGGTTACAAGCATGGTATGCTGAAGATCACTTCTAATCCCGATCTTCCTGGGGTTACAAGAATGGGTTGCTGAATACCGGTTTTATCCTGGATCTTCATTGGGGTACAAGCAAGTGTTGCTGAAGACCGATTCTAACCCAGATCTTCCTGGGGTTACAAGCATGGTATGCTGAAGATCACTTCTAATCCCGATCTTCCTGGGGTTACAAGAATGGGTTGCTGAATACCGGTTTTATCCTGGATCTTCATTGGGGTACAAGCAAGTGTTGCTGAAGACCTGTTCTAACCCAGATCTATCTGGGGTTACAAGCATGGTATGCTGAAGATCACTTCTAATCCCGATCTTCCTGGGGTTACAAGAATGGGTTGCTGAATACCGGTTTTATCCTGGATCTTCATTGGGGTACAAGCAAGTGTTGCTGAAGACCTGTTCTAACCCGGATCTTCACGGGGGTTCAAGCATGCGTTGCTGAAGACGTATTCTAATCGTGATTTAACGAGGGTACAAACAAGTGTGCTGAAGACCTATTCTAACCCAGATCTTGAAGGGGGTACATCTATACAATTGCGATATGATGACATTCATCACCCACCCTGACCAGCGATCACATTTGTCGCCTCTGATAACAATCAAATGTTGCTTGAGATCAATTCTAATCATTCTAATAAGGATCTTCACGTGTCCTCCATACATATGGTTTGGCTAATCAGTTTTAGGTCTTTTAGGTTTTTTTTAGGGACGAGGGAGCGGGGATTTCTTTTTTCAATTATGGTTGATTGATGGGAAGAATATAACAAAAAGAGCAATCTAACATTTTTCTTCTGTTCTTCAAACATTATCTGAATATATATTACATGCTCAAGTTGTCTGTGATATAGACTACAAGAATAATTGAGACTAGACCAACCAATCACACTGTAGAGGTGCACAGCATGACTGATATACCATGGTATGAAATACTAATGAATACATATCACAATCCATTTGGAAAATTTCTGTATACTGCTTTTTTCAAAATCATGCATATTTTCATCTTGTTGGAAAATTTAACAGAAGTGACAAGTCAAATTGAAGTTGTGAAATTCAGAAATTAGCCACTGTTTCCAGTGATGCAAAAAGCGAAACAATTTGCAACCAGCTTCCTGCATATAATGTGTCTATTACGCATACACTGTGACCACAGCAACATCCAACAAAATACAAAGTTTTTCAAATTGAAAACAAATTACGTACGAAAGAACGCAATATATTGTGGTACATATCGCAATACATGAATCATTAATGTAATAAATTGCAACATGAAATTCAGGCCCATGCCCATCATGATGAGACTGACATTTATATGTTTTGCGTCAGACACTATGACATTCTATCACTGACAAAACACAACCAACCACATCCACATTCCTTGGGGAATCCCCAGGAACTCTCAGGAAATGGCATCAGCTCTGACACAAGAATAAGTGAGTGAGTGAGTGAGTGAGTGAGGTTTTACGCCGCTTTTAGCAATATTCCAGCAATATCACGGCGGGGGGACACAAGAATAAGCCGAGATAACACACACAGCCATCTCTAAAGGCAGAACAGTCCTAAACACCCTTCCCCACAGGCTCAGTGGCATGTGCTGTACAAATGTCATATCAATACTGAAACTGTTATGTCCAACATTTACTAACAAAGACTGGATTATAAACTTCATGACTAAAACTTTCACTGGAGAAATGTCACATTTGCCAAACAGTGTACGATTATTTACAAACATATTCATGTTTACGAACTGTTCAGCTTTTACAATGACTAACACATTTTACATTCTTGATCTACAGGACAGTCTTTTCTCAAAGACAGTAAACTATGGTTAAAACAAACTCAAAGGGACCACTAAGTTTAGTTCGTTATAACTATAGTTCGTTATAAGCATATATACAGCATATATACAGCAAATGGCCGGGAAAAAAACCAAATTCATTATATCCGCCAGTTCATTGTAAGCGCATTCGGTATAATCTTTTGTGTTTCCACAGAATGGCTATTTATTCAGTCCAATGTAGCCAGATGTTGCACTGTCATGTTAGTTGTAACTCCTGCAAACATTGTGAAGTAACGGATAAGAAGTCTGTGTATTATCAGTGATTATGGAAAACTGTTTGTGTTTGACAACAATATTTCTTGACAGTAATCTCATCATAAATAAAAAAAATACTTGTAGCAAATCCTGCCGTCCCCCACAAATTCGAAAGAACAAATTATCAGACTGTTACTTAAAGTCAAACTTGATGAGAGAATATTTATCTAAACTGTCTGTCCATATACAAGATTAGTTACTGAGCTATCAAAACAATACCATGGAATTTGGATTTGGAACTTTGTATTTCTATCTCAGGTACACACCAATATGAACATGCAGAGTCAAAGTCAAACTTCAATGCTGCCATGGAAACAGAAAAAATACAAATTCTAAAAATCCCTAAATAGGAAACGGCACCAGTTGATAAATTTATCCAAGAACACATTTACCAAACCACTCTGTAACCATCAGGAAACCTTTTCAATTTGTATTAACTTACAATTTTTACATTTATCTATAATTTGGCTTCTGATGGAAGCAATGTCCTGTTGTAACATCACTTTTTGACCATTTCATAGAGAAATGTATTCATAAATCTACTTCAACCATTTTCTTAAGGAAAGTACCAAACAATATCATTCCAATACTTGAAACAATTTCCTTAAGGGGCCAGTGTATTTGTGGCCAAATCTTGGCTCACTTCCCATGGATTACAATACAAACATTTTTCTCATGCCATTAACTTTCAATCCCCTCAAATCTTCAATGACGCACAAGACAATGATGGTATTCTCCCGAACAAGTCTGCACTCATATCCCTCCTCAAAATGATGCAAAAGAAACAATGAAAGAATTTAAGAAGAATTTGTCTTAGATAAATCAGAGTTGAGGTGAACTCTTTGACAGGTTCCAGTTAACTGTACCACTGGCGCCTGTGTAGCTTGTCTGGCTTCTAATTGATCTGGCAACCTTCAGAATTCACAAGCAATGACTAATACACCTACATGTTCTGTACAAGAAATACCAGAATAGCTTCCTTCACTTAAATCTGTGAATGAAATCTCTGATTAGAGGAGGCCTCAGGACCTCGCAGCATGGCCTATGTGGTAAGTCAACTTACACTGTACCTTAGTCCTGTGTTTGTGCCTCGGCCTCACATGTTAAAGTCCCATCTTACAAGTAGATCTCTTTCCTGGATTTTGTCCTGGTTTAAAGAGTTATCCTTATTTACATAAACAAATTTACAGGGAGAATCAAGTAGAACAAATAAACACAAGAGCTCTCAACATGTTTAAAACCTTCCTTCCGTAGGAGTGTCTCGTATAGTTTTTCATACTTCAGCATGAATCTCATCGTTACTAAAACAATTTGACGTACAAAATTCCAAAACACTTGAACCTGACTATGATTTCATGGTTTTTAAAATTGTTGGTACAAAATAATTGTTTAAAATGTATCATGTGAAGAAAATCAGCTCAAAATGTTAAATGGTGTGTTTTTCATGTGTTTTATAAAAAGTCACAAAATGGTACTGTGAAATAAAGCCAGTCAGGTGACTGGAAAGTCTGTGAGGATGTAAAGGAAGCTGGCAAGGCAAACGTCTGTTGCATCGACTCTTCACAGCAGGTGTGGGGTCACTGGGAAACTTTCTTACATGATTATCATTTATTCTTGAAAGTGCATTTTTCCAGTGAAGTACACTTAAAAGTTCACCACAGTGACGTATGGGTAGCTCAATTCTCCTGTCATTTTCACATTCACACAAACTTTGAATGAAAACAATGTACAACTTTGTGGAGAACATCTTCTGGTTTATTGCATGTTGTAACAATAATTTTGCATATTTGCTAAAATGCATGTATAAATTCTGTCCAAAAGAATTGTTTTGATGTCGTGATTCTGATGAA